AATTTTTCCATTAGATCAGCTCTATTATTTTTCTTATCTTTATCTATTTATTCATTTTTGTACAGCTCGTCCAGAAAGTCCGACAATAATCTCCGTGGAAACCACGGATCGAGAAGCTTTGGTCACGTGGACATTTAACGATGATGGTGGCCTGGAACTGAATGCCTTAATACTCCAGTACAGAAAGGGTGAACAAGAGTGGAATGAAATCCAGATTAAACCCCCAAACAAAAACAAGTACACCATCATGTATCTCGATCCAGACACAAACTACAACTTCCGTATCTTGGCGACCAACAACCTAGGCACCAGTACTCCTAGTTCAAACTATTTTGCCAAAACAAAGAAAACGGGTAAGAAGACGTCTTTCAACTAGAAAAAAAGCATCCGTTTTTTCAAGTCTTTGTCAGCTTTAGAATTCCTGTGACCAAACTGGTCAGTGACGCATTATGACGTAATAAGAGGTTCAAAACTAGTTTCAGGGGTTAAAAAAGCAGAATATGTTGTTCTCACGTGACGTCACATTGATCACTACAACAATAGACAAGAGGCCCAGCTGACCTGGATTCGATTTCATCATCTCGTATCCCGGGTCGATTGAGGTTTTCCAGTTTTGCTCCTTCCACCAAAAAAATTCTCCAAATTCAAATTCAACCTGGAAAACTTGAACCAGGAGCCACCTTTAGTTTGTAAATGTACAAAACCCTCTTAAAATTCAAAATGTCAATTTTAGCTTTGCAAGATCTGTCATACAGACTTTGCTTGTCTGTCAACTCAGTTAACTTTGAAATTGTTTTGATTTTTTTATTATGAATCTCAATTTCGTTTTCTCCTCCAGAATCTAACACTGATGCACATACCAATAAAGGGTTTGCAGCACTCACTGAAAATATGACAGCGTTGGTGGGCGGGGTCGGAGGAGGTTTCCTGGCCATCATGTTGGGTATTATTGCAATCTTCTGCTTCTTTAAGAAGATGCACAAGAATAACACCCCAGGGAATACGCCATCGAACAGCCGGCCTACAAGTCAGCAGGAACCAGCCGAAATGACCGCGGTAAGGCCCAGGATTTTTCATGAGACAATGCATTTGGGGGCTTAATGAGTCGTTAAGAACTACAGTGTTCAAAACTATTCATGCTCTCTTCAAGAGACATGGACAGACGGTTAGCGCTGGGCTTTGGGACGAGATGTGCAGGTTCGAGGGTTCTATACCTGACCTTTCTCCGCCCATGAGTATATAAATCAGTACTGGCGAACCACAAAGGACGCCTGACAAAATGCCTAGGTATGAATGGGGGGTGGGGGGCTGCGATGGACCTGCATACTACCCAGGGGGAGTAGAAGGTCTCCTTGCCACTACATACTACGAGTACAGACTTCGCCTGGTCTTGTTAAACACCCGATTCAAGGCTGTGTTTTAAGAAAAAGTGAAGGAAGCCCACTGCTCTGAAACTGAAATGCAGGGTGCCCAGCATATGCTTTTATATGAAAAAACTAAAATCCCCTAGTCGCCCAAGAGCAAAAGTAAGGCTACAGGGGCCACCGGGCGCCGCTAGATCACAGCCCTACCCGTGTTTTTGTCGCTCATCGTTCGATCTGTATTCGACCCAAACGGTAGGTAGTCATAGGCTCATCATTAAATACTTTTCTATGACTTTTTTGTTTAGCTATTAGGCCATACCATTCCAAATATACCCCAACCTCAGCCAAATGTGGAGCAAGGAGCTTCAGTGACCCAGCTATCAAACAACCCCTGGGAATTCCCGCGGAACAGAGTTGACCTACAGCTAGTACTGGGATCGGGTGCATTTGGCGTGGTTATGAAAGCACAAGCACAGGGCATTAAAGGATGTGTGGGAAAAATGTACGTCGCGGTTAAAATTGTGAAAGGTAAGTAGACAAGTACATTAAAATGATTCATGTGTCAACAAGCTCCCCATGCAGCAAAGAGAGTAAAAAAAAAAAAAAAAATCAGGATCAGTGGGAGGGGGAGGAAAGAAAATAGAGGGCCTTAACACCAACATTTCCCGATCTTCCAATCATATAAAAACGCGTAATTTGCAAAGTCTGAGGCTAAGGTCTGACCACTATAAGCTTTTGATTTGCTTTGGGATCCACCAAGATTTTGATTGTTTTCAGCCTAAACGAGTGGTCTCTTTCCCCGCTTTTCTTATCCAAAGCTTCACTCCTGCAAGTATGTAAAAAAAAGATGTGAGAAATTGTTTCAGTTACGAATATGGAAATTTTTTTTCAACTTTATTCTCCCTTGCTAAAATCCAACCAACTCAACTAACTTACTGCATTTATTTTTTCAATAGAAAGCGACAGTGAGACGGCCAGAAGAGATTTGCTAGCGGAGCTGGAACTCCTCAAGCTTATTGAACCACACCCAAATGTTATTGGCCTACTAGGATGTTGCACTAGACAAGGTTCGTTTGACATAACAAACGCTTGTGAACCACACGACATCTCCTCCACCTTAACCAATCTCTTGAGCTTCTCGCTACCTTTTTTTATTTCGCATCAAGAACTCTGCTACAAGCACATAGAATGATGCCTAACTAAATATTGTTCTTGTTTTTTTTTCTTTTACCTCACAGAGCCTTTAATGGTTATAGTAGAATTCTGTGCTTATGGCGATCTTCAGAGTTACCTGCGTCACTGCCGTGGAGTAGAAGACAAATATTACCAAGATTTGTACAAAGTTCCCATTGAAAAGCTCGGTTCTAGGGATCTTTTGTCATTTGCGATACAGACTGCAAGAGGCATGGCTCATCTGGCTGCCATGAAGGTATTATCGTCTCAGCTTTCAGTTTTAATCTTTTAATGTGAAAGAGCTTTACAGGCAACTGATTTCTGAGCTTGAAGATTAAGAGTGAGCTATGTTTACAATCATATTTTATCAACCTAAGGAGGAATGTTGAAGTAAAGGTGACCAGGTACATGCCAATCGAAGGGCTATTACCCATAATTCCACTGACTGGACCGATCACTTTTACAGGTTGTTCACAGAGATCTCGCGGCCAGAAATGTTCTTATTGACGAACACAAAGTTTGTAAGGTGGCTGACTTTGGCTTCGCTAGGGACATTTACGTAGAAAACCATTACACAAGAAAAACACAAGTGAGTTATTTATGGTTATGATTGTGATCAAATTTTGAACTCAGTGGCATGCTGATGAATATGTCAATGAATGAAGGTAGGTAGACTTTTGACCAGTCCTGGTCGGAGACGTTATGGCATGATGTCTAGTGCGCCATCTTCCGAGGAGTCTAGGTTCAAGGACCTCGAGTCCTGGCAGGGGTTCTGCAAACATTTCGTGAAATCTCTCATTGTCTCTCACATGCAAGAAACGTGAGTGCCTAGAGAAACTGACAGCTGGTTGGGGTGTAACCTGCGCTGAACCAGATAACAAGCGGTTGCAGAAATGTGCACGAAGTCTCATAAATGGACTTAGATTGAGAAATGAACATTTTAGTAGAAGGGTAGCCGTCCGAGAACTCATAACGCACTATGAACATCTTCTCCCAACCTCCCCGCGCTGTTATTCATTCGGTTTTTTTTTTTTTTTTCATCAAACGAGCTCTCTGGAGTTGTCAAAGCCTCTGTTTTTTATCTATATATTCATTTTTATAGGGAGGACGATTTCCAATTAAATGGATGGCTATAGAATCATTATTAGATGGGGTATCCACAACAAAAAGTGATGTGTAAGTAAATTTTACGACTGTGATAATCTGCATGTCTTTGAAGGCTGCCCCTTTACTGCAATTTTCAAGAAATCGCAAAAGCTTTCCTTGAATTTACTGTCCAATAACATCCTGAATAGGCCGAATACTGTAAACTAGGCAGAACCAATTGAATTTTCGTTTAAAATACATTTTGAAAATTATCACGCCTGGTTTTAATTGACTCTTAAAAGGCTCTAACTTCAGACTGTCGGATTTTCGCGACCATTATTCGGCGACTGTAGCTGAGCTCAAGATTTACCGTCTTTCTCAGTCTCTCTCCAATACTATTTTAAATTTGAAACGATTTTTTTAATTATCTTTTTACCTTTCGTCTCATTTAGGTGGTCTTTTGGCGTCGTTCTCTGGGAAATCGTCACGTTAGGTAAGATTTCGCAGGATTCTACTTTCATGTAAACGCATTGGCTAATACTTAGTCAAGTGAAATTTAACCAAACAACTCCAGCTGATAATTGATATAGAAATTATTTCGCTTGAATGATTCCTTCAACAGGTGCATCACCGTATCCAGGGATGAACTCACAGGAAGTAATCAACTTTCTTCAAGAATCATACAGAATGGATAGGCCTAAACACTGCTCTGAAGATTTGTAAGTGCCTCCTTGTTCCCAACAGAGCCCTTAACCAAGGCTAAACACGTTTACTTCTATTCTTTTGCGCTAAAATCGTTGGGTTAATTGACACGTTCGATCCTCAATGTGCAGCTGACTTGGGTAATTTCGTAGAGAGAGAGAGGGAGTTCGAATCACTGAATTTCTATCCGACTACAAATTAAATTTTCTCCAAAATGGCGACTGAAAATGGGAGACAGTGATTTTGTAACAGGAAAAATTTTCAAATTATTGTCGAAAGTAAGGCTAGGATTGCATTGGATTTGCTTTACCATATACTGCGACTGGTTTAGAAATATTGTGTCCTGATAACCTTCGCGAGAAACTGAAACACGGTTTCCCGCGCTTTAGGCAATTTACTATTTTATACTTTCAACTGATTTCTGATTGGCTCTCTTGATATTTACCTTAACTCTGATCCGATTGGATGCAGTGATTGCTCTATATTGGGTTTTTTGACATTCAGTCGAACTGCACTCGAATCAGACTACGCGGGAATATTACACCGTACACCAAAACTGTATACATCCAGTGATTATTTCAGCCAGAATATAAATTTTATAAGAATTCCTTTGTGTGGTAGTATACATCACAGTCCCAGTCATTTTCTTTTGCAAACCTTCGGTCGGTTTTTTCAAGTTGAACGGTCGAATGTGATGGTCATAGAAACGGCTTAAGGCAAATAACTTGGGATAACCAGCTATCTTTCCGGAACAATACTTTTCGCTCCTCCAAAAGCTCACACTTGTCTATTGCCCCTTCAGGTACATCCTCATGATGGATTGCTGGCAAGTGGCCCCACAGCGGAGGCCAACATTCGTAGAGTTGTCTCAGCATCTCAGCAAAATGTTCAGCGATGAAAAGGTAGGTTTAATTCATAAAAGTCCTTCTGACCAGTGTTGATGTCATGTTGTTATCGTAAACTATGTTGTTTAATCAAAAACCTCTCCTTGACTGTGTCGGTAAACCTATAGCTACTCTATACACTCATTAAATCGCGCCGTAAGGTTATCGGCGTAATTACCCACGTGAGATGTTGAAACTCACAATGGAAACATCCCAAGTAAGTTCTTACGCCACATAGATGAATACAAAGACCTATATATACTGTTCATTGCTTAATTGCCTGATCTAAATTTTGGTGGCATTGAATTCTCCAATCTTCCTTTTTTTTTTTTCTCGGATCAATTCTTCAGCTGCTTTCTTCTTTGCCTCACCCCAATTTAAGATTTTTGTCCTTATCATCTCCTAGGAATACGTAAACATGGCCACATACGAAGACAATATGTACGTCAATTTTGACGGCTCCTCCCTCACAGTGTAGCTACCTCAAGTCCACTGACACCTGTACGTACATGATTATTGATTGATTGCTGTCAATCATCTTTTCACTTGTCGTAGGAGTATATTGACATGCGAATGTACGAGGACCACTTGTACATCAATTTCGACAAGGCTTCTGGGACACTTACATCCAAGTCGGGAAGTACGCAGAATCCTTGTGAATCACCATTGTGACAAGAAATGAAGAAATAACTAAATAGATCTTCCTCTCCATCTGTAAACGAACTCTTCAGAAAATCATAACAACAACAACAAAAGATCAATGGAGGAAGAGCGTGGTTTAGAAAGTTGCGGGCGGGTATGAAGAATGCGGTTTGTCATTCTACGAGACTCGCCGACACTAGGATAGTCAACTAGGCATGTACAATCTTAGATGGTAATTTTGTCCCAAACGTGCATCTCGTCGGCAATTTAGAACTTGGGAAATTAGGCACAGCCACAACACAGATTACCTAACATCGATGGTATCTTCAAAAGAATTATCTTATCAAACAATGGGTGTAAGTGATACTATGACATTTTCTTGTGTTGAATTTTTTCCCTAATCTAAAAATTTAACACCAGTGTGGTTCGCATTTTCTTCGGACTCAATTTGGTTAAAATATGCGAAAAGGGAACACTCAAATTAAAAAAATCTCAATGAAAGAAAAATTTCTAATCACAGTAACCTATTCTATAGTCTTAAGGTAGTTTCTGTAAGGGGTATGAGTGAAAGTCACTTTGTCGTTTCCGGTGTTTTGGATAGCGCGCCCAAGTTAATATCGTACATAATCACAGACATGACGTCACTGATTTTGCCAAAGTTAAACTTGCATTAAAACAAATACTTCTCTTCAAAGGTTTTGAGAATACGATAACATGGAATATATACAAAGCAAAGGAATAGTTATGTTTATTTAAGACAGAAGCTAAATAATTATTAGGGGCTGTAAATCGAGAAATGTGGGCGCCTCCGAAAAGTTATCCAACCGAAAAGTGCATGATACAAGTCAGTTATGGAAATGTTTCCCTTGAGCGTCTTTCAACGTTCTTGATCCATTAGGGATCTTTAAAACTAGAGTAACATTGTTTACTGTCGCGTTTTAGCGACGAGACATAACATTTGTCTCATTTACTTGCAACAAATGTTCATAGCTAAAACAAATTTCATTGTAAGAATACTCGACGAGCTGAGATAGTACGTTCAAAATTTGATCCCTAATTACATATTTAGGAAGACATTTCGAATTCTAGGGATTTTATCGGTCAGTTTTGTTATAAAAAACACTTTATGAAGACTCAGCTTAATAAAGTCATTGCATTATTTCACAATAAACCGTTACCAAGGTTCAATGATGGATTTTCCGACCGCGTTCCTAGGTTATTTATTGCTTGGTTGACTAATTGCTGCGCGTTGCACCGGGCAAGTTCAATCCAGGCTTTTTCTTTTTCCCACTCCTAAGAGTGCGTGAAGAAAAGTGACCCTGGGCACACGTTTTTAGACCAGTAGGGGTGAAAAAGTCAAGAGTTGTGAATAAAATATAGCAAGGCAAAGACAAAACTGAGTGTTATATAACAAGAGCCGTCGATATGCTCCGACATATGCAAGAGTTATGAAAAGTTGCAACGTCAGTAACGAAGCCAGAAGGTGCAAAAGATTGCAGCAGCCTTGCAGGATAGGCTTGTTTCAAGCATGCCAGCGTTCAATTTTCATTTGTGGAAATGGTTCGCTGTTTCCTTAGATTTTGGAAGCAAGGGTAAGTTGGGTAGCGTCTCCTGCATCTATTAATTAGTTAATTTGGTTGGGCAGCGGACGTTCAAAGAACCCACTCATGAGATTACTGTGATGTGGTCTGGCCTGTTTACTGGGAATTGGGGGGAGGAGGCATCTTCAAATAAGTTTGCTTCGATTGCTTGTAAACTGCTGATGCAGTCTGGCCAAAATCCCCCGAACAGTGTTGTGATGCGCATTTGATCATATCCACATGTTAATTTGCGCAATATGAATATTAAATTGTTATTATTAAATATTATATATACAAGGCTAAAAAGTTAAAAAAGGTTACAGGTTTTTAACTTTTTAGCCTTCCATATATAATATTTCTTATTAAGCGAACATTATGGACATTATTATCGCAGAGAAATCAACTGAATGCTACATTCTAATCAGGCAGCACAGGGCGAAAACCGTAACCTGTGAGCCATGGAGTAAAAAATAAATGTACATTAACTAATCCCAAAAGGCTTTTCCGTTATGTCTAAGTTCCTCCTTCTAACAGGAACTCAAACTGCCACCTTGAAAGTCCGGGCAATATTCAGCGTGCCCGAGAGCACTGCCCTCTGCATCTTTCGCAGTACGTCTGTGCTTCTGCCACCCACCAGCTCGCGCATCATGACATCCAGCTCCCGTGACCACCCCCCGAGGGCATCCATAATGATGTTATATTGCTTCACCTCGTAGCCTGGGAACTGCTGCCTTAGTTCCCAGCGAAGGGGTCCGTCCTTCAGTGTCTTCTCTTCATCCTTTGTTGTCCGATTGTTGACCCACGGGAAGCTCATTTCCAGCATCACAACTCTCTTGCACATATGATTTACAATGCGTGCATCCACCCTATTGCATCTGACCTCTTGTTGATCAGCATATATAGGGACATCCCAATAAGCTTTAACATTCTCTGACTCATACACG